GGGTGCCCTCCAGGTCTCCTTGGATCTCTGACTTGGGGAATATTTTTAGACTGATAGACTTCACTACCACAAATGCATGTCACATTTCCTGAGCTGACACCACCACCTAGTGAGTTGTGCAAGAAGACATGTCTGCCCTTCTCATTCTAAGATACTGATACTCGAAATATATTCCACAAACCAGAGGCCACGGCATCCCTAAGAGCTGGTAAGACACGCAGAAACTCAGGCCCCATCCTAGACCATTGAGCCCAATCTGCCTTCTACCAAGGTGCCAGGTAATGCCACGGAAACACATGCAAAAGCTGATTTAATAGAAAGGGGAACAGGAAGGCAGCAGAGCAGGACATGTTAGCTTAACAGAGATACTTAGCCCACAAAGAAATGCAGACTTGACCTATATAAATCAAACAAATCCTTCCCAACTGACAAGAGAGAAGCTTGTCATGTGATGAAGATTCAGTTACTGATGAATTTTTATTCAGTCTTCAAAATGGAATCTTCTTGAATGGTGCATAGGAATGACATCCCTGAGCCCAAGCTTCCACTGTACCTACATTGTCTATGTTGCTACGATGTAGTAAATAACCACAATGATGAGTCTGTGATTCCAGAACTTCAACCCCTCAACTTAGCTACTCTGAGCTCCTGGAGGCCACCCCCAGGTCCTAGCCATTAGGTCCCATCACACGATGGTGGCTTCCTTCTTCAAAGGCAGCAGCACTCTCTCAGCAGGCGACCTCTAGGAACTGAGCTTATTAGTTCTACAACCAAAGGAACTGAATTCTGCCAACAAAGGTGGAAGCAAAACCTGAGTCTCAGACAGGAGAGCAACAAGCTAACATCTTGATTTCAGCCCATGAGACCCAGAGCTGAGAACCCTGTGGAACCAGGCATGCCCTGGCTTCTGATCTAGAGGAACTGGAGAAAATAAGTGGCATTGTTTCTAGCTACTAAATTCTCAGTAATAGACAACTAACACAGGTTTTGGTACCTAGAAGTGAGATGCTATTGTAGCAAATACCTACACTGTGGGAGGAGGTGGGGGGAACTGAGAGGAGCCTGACAGAGCAAGCCTACATTTCCATGAACTGGCTGTGAGTAAAAGGATGGATATTGAGGATCCTGCCAGTAAGAGGATCCTCATGAGGAATGTGAGGAGTGTACCGTTGGAAAGTGGAGGGGTGGGATCCTTGCTGTGTCATGGCAGAAAGCTTAGCAAAATTGACTCCTGTAGTTATGTGGGAAGCAGAACTTGACAGAGATGAACCTTGTTTTATAGTAAAGGAGGTTTTCATGCAGTGTTGAAGGTGCTGCCTGATTTGTTCTCAATGCTTATGACAAAATGTAAGAGGAGAGAAAGAAGCAGAGAGAAAAATTCTTACACAAAAATGAACTAAGAATGAATTATTCAGAAAATCCTCAGCTTCTCCAAATGGCAAAAGATGCTAAACCAGAATGGCTGCTGAAAGTGTGTCACAGAGAAAGGCTAAGTACAAAGACAAAGGGAAAATCTTTTTTTGCGCCCCCAAAAGGGAAAAATCTTAAAAGGCAGCAAAAGAAAAATGACTAAGATATTGATGGACGACTTGTCACTTGAAATAATGGTAATCCTACGAGAATGAAATCACAAATTCACAGTACTGAAGGAAAAAAAACAAAACCCGTCAGTGACAATCCTATATCCAGCTAAACTAGCTTCAAAAGTTGAAGACAGAAAAAACCCAAAAAAAAAAGTAAGAATATATTTTAAAAATGGAAAGCAGAATAAAACATTCCCAAATAAACAAAACTAATCTGTTGCAAACTCACGTACTCTAGATGAACTGCTAAAGACAGTAACCAAATGGTTACTTGGATTCATAGGAAATAAAGCAGAGCGTGGGAAAGGCACGTATGTCAGTAAATATGAGACTGTGTGTGTGTATACACTCTTTGTTTGAAGCAGTAATTATACCATTTGGTTCTTGAGTTTATAAGATACTTATATGTATACATATGCCATAAAGGAGGGGTGGAAAATGGAGCTACAATTGCAAATGTGCTAAGGTTTACTGGAATTAAGCAGAGCAAGCTGAAGATTGTGAAAATTTCAGAAGCATACTAGCACAACTGCTGAATATGGTAACTGAAGAACACAGTAAGAAATCTACAGAAGACACAGTTACGCCCATTATGCAGATGAGGCAATAAGTCTATAGTGAATTCTCATAACTTCGTAGGAAAAGCATCCTAAAAGTTATCTGATTATATTATATGCCACCTCGGCATCCATGGGACAATAGGTTTAACTTTCTCATACCAAAAGCAGGGCTTGGCCACCCTTGACAAAATTTCCATTTCTCTGCCTCCCCTGCAGTTCCTCAGTTTGCCTTATACAACTGCCTCCTGGTGATGGCCTCCCTATGGGACACACAGACAACCTACTTGACTTGCCCCACTGTTCCCCATAGAACAGTACTGCACAAACCATACAGAGATGCCACCAGTGTGACTCCACAGAACTTTGCCTTCCTGCCAAAATGTACCTGTTAGACTCCCGTAGAAATCTGCTTGGGTAATATCATAGACCCATAAAGGATTTGGCTCAAAGGCCCTTCCCTCTCTCTTGCTCCTTACCCACAGGTTGAGCTTGCATGTCCCAGACAGCTGTTCCCCCGTGGCCCTGTGAGACCCTCTGCCACTCTCTAGGATCTATCAGCAACACACAGCTTCTGTTATTGCACATGTTTGTTGCTCTGCCTCCGCTGTGTTGCACCTGACTGATACACCTAACCTCAACTTCTTTCATGTCAGGTCAGGGCTCTGCTAGGGTGACCATCTTGGTAGAATAAACCGGAGACAGGTCAGACAAGAGGCACAGGTGCCTGCCAGTATAAACAAGTTTCCTGTGAGAGGGACACCTGGTAATAGGTGGGACACTTGGATATCAGGCTTTCCTCCAATTTAAAGAAGCAACCCACGAAAGGCTCAGTGGAGACATCCAAGACCAAGTCCCTTGGAGCCCTGGCAAGGGCCACTCTCCTGAGAAAGAACAAATTAAGAGGACAATACAATGAAGTCTTAGAAGTTGAACCAATCTGTCACAGCAGGAGCTGCCTGTGCAAATGAGCATGCACGCGTAAACACACACAATACCAGACCTGCAGCCCACCTGCCTGGGGGCCAGGCAGGCACCGGTAAGAATTCACTCAGGTAAAAGAAATGGATGTAAGAATTTCCTCACACCCAATGGCTTATTTTTTTTTTCAGATTTTCAACTATTAATGAAAAGAAAGGCTTCTCAAAATATTGTATAATCGTCCCCAATCTGTGAAAATATTTTCCATGACATACAAAAATACCATTTTTATTTTCATTGACTTTCTCCCACCCTAAGTTGTACTGCACATAAGCTGATGGCAGGAGTAGGCAGGCTGACTTCTCCAGCCAAGCCAGCAAGTCATGGTGCCGTGGGCGTCTGGGGAGACACAGGTGCAGCTCCCGCACACAGGCTGGGTTTGCCAGTCTTGATTTGGTATTGGCCTGTGCTGTCCTCTTGTGTTGGGCCTGGAGAGGGGCGCTTCATCAAGTTTACTTGGCCTTGTGGAATGCCAGAGTGGGTGGGGGGAAGAAAGCAGAACTACAGACCTGATCCCAAGTCTGTCTGCTCTGCATGTCACAATAGGTCGCAGAGGAAGGAAGGCTTGGTCCTTGCCTCCACGTGCGAGAACTAAGCTGTTAGAAGTAGCGCATTCTGCCCCATCCTCCTGCCCACTGAGAAGCTGGCTAATCTCCAAAAGATAAAATAACCACATTATTTCATGTTTATTTCTGAATACACAGCTACTCAGGTTTATTGTGCATCACATTTTATACAGGTATTTATGACAACAGTGCTCGTGTCTAATGAACCCATACCACGTGCCAAGAACTGAGCGAAGCTCTCCTTTGCTTGGTATCGGTTTGTCCTGACATCAATCCCAAGCTCAGTTTCATGATCCACATTTTACAGATAAGAAACTGAAGTACAGGACTGGCGGAGTGGCTCAAGTGGTAGAGCGCTTGCCTAGTAAGCTCAAGGCCCTGAGTTCAAACCCCAGCAACCACCAAAAACAAAAAAACAAAAAACCAGAAATTGAAGAACAAAGTAGTTAAGAGGCTTCAGGTGGATCCTAGTCAGGCCAGTCAGAGTTGTTTCTGGATAACCTGACCGCTGCCAGGTCTCTCAGATAGGAGAATGAGTGAAAAAGAGCCAGAGACATAAGTGACTTGTTAATCAATTGCACGGGTGTCTTCATTCTCTCACATCTGGTGATACAAAAGCAAAAATCTTCAGTCCACATTCTCATGGGTGTCTTTTTTTAAAATCACTCATATTGACTCTACCAAGCAGGCAGATTGGAGTTTAGCTGGGATCATTCAGAAATCAGAATTACAGAGCGAAACTTCCATGGTGTTTGCTGCATCACAAAATCTAACATTGATATAAATGACTGAATATCATCAATGAATAGATTTGAAAAATGCATCTCATATAGAACATTAAATCCCTCCGACACTACTGTGTGATAAAAATGACATAAACATGTTTTAAAGTCGTTAGTGGTAATTATGAAAAGCAACGAGCCACCCTCCCGCTAGGCATTGTTAGGAGGTCCACTCTCAAGTTTACGTTATCTGCTTACGTCAAATTGTCTCTTTGATGTCTCAGCCTCAGTCAACATAAACGTTATGGAGTTCTGAGTGTGACAGTAACATGTAGCAAAAGTCATTCTTTATTAAGTAATTCTAGACCATCTCAATAACACAACACTCCTACGGTCCATCTCTCCACACTGAGAAAACCCTATCCTAACATTTGAGGTATTATCAGCTTGTGCAAAGTATGCTGTAAATATCTTCACACCTGGGAATCCTTGCAAGTCCCAAAATAAAATATTTCCCTTTTTTTTGCTAGTGATAATAAAAGGCACAACTGTGGAATATATAACCTGATAGAAAAATATTGTAAGGCTTTTAATTCCCCAAATACCAAAAGAGTTAATCTTAAGATTACCCTTGGAAAACAGGATTTTGAAGGACATTTTTAAAGGTTTCAAAATTAGTACCAATGCTTAGTCATATTCTTACTAAATCCAATGACATGTTCCCAAATGGCAAAATGATTTCCTTATAGAAATACAGCAGCCACTGCTTGCTAAGTCTCTGCTGGGCTCAGAGTTCATGGCCTTCCTTCAGTGGGTGCCTTGTTTGGCATGGTGACACTTTTATGACATGCGTTCCTTGAAGAACCATTTCTGATTATCCGAGTTGGTACAGTCTTGCAAGAGTGGCACAAAGCTGTCACTGAAGTCCTTCCTTGTAGCCTGGACACATTTCTTGGACTGTTCGTGAACTAAAGAACCATCCTACAAATGATAACAGACATTGGGTGTTCAAGGTAATTACAAGTGACTCCTCAAAAAAGTCTCTTTTCCTCCTTAAAACAAGTTCTGAAAAGCTCGGGTATGATTCTCATCATTTCAAAAATTGATTGCAGGCTAAGTGTCCTCTGTTCGAAATGGCCATTCAGGACAGTCCCATGTGTGGAGTGTCAGCATCTCCCTGACTTGACCTGGGCCTGAGGGCGCCACCTGCTGGCTGCTCTGGGACTTGTCAGACCCTTCAGCTCATCCCCATTCCTTTCTGTTTCTTTCAAGGAAATCAGAACAAAGATCCTTCATTTATCTCTTTCACTTCTCTTAGATCAACTAAGTCCATCCTTGGTGATCTCTTTCTCTTGTGTATTTAAACAGAGTCAGGAAATGGCCACAGTCCCAACTCAGCCACAGACCAGCAAGTCCCTGGTTACCTGGCCTGAGCTCCTCATCAGTTCACCTGTCTGGATGAGAGTCAGGGCTCTATGCGGTCCCCAATTCCCACACCCTGGAGGGCGAGGAGCTTCCTTGATGGCCTCTCCTGCTCTTCTCTCTCCCCACCCTTGCTGAGCTGGCCAACAACCTCTCTCCAGCCCTGGTGTTTATTTTGTTCCACCACCTCTGTGTGTGTAAGCTATGTGTCATGATGAACTTAACCATGGCTGAGCAACAAACAGACAGAATGAAGACCCTCCTGTTCTAAGAGAAGGCCTCAGAAACAAACACAAGAGAACCTCAGAACCTGTAACTGGAAAACCCTTCCCAGAGCTCCTGAGAAGCCTTTAGAGGAACTTAAAAGTAAACAATTAAAGTATCACTGTGCCCACCCTTCTAAACAAACTTACTTCTCCTTACACAGTCTCTGAAATTTATAATAAAATTCTTACTAATACATCAAACCAACTTTATTTTATTTTGGTGGTACTGGGTTTTGAACTCAGGGCCCCACACTTGCTAGGCAGCGCTCTACCATTTAAGCCACTCTGCCAGCCCTTTCTTTGTGATGGGTTTTTTTGAGATAGGGTCTCTTGAACTACTTGCTCATGGTGGCTTCAAACCATGATCTCCTGCTCTCTGCTCCTGACTAGCTAGGATTACAAGCATGAGCCACCGCTGGCTAACTCAACCAACTTTGTTGCTTCTTTTTTTTTTTTTTTTATTGCTTCTTGCTTGCAGAAGTGCTCAAAGAGGGCTCACCAGGCCTTACACTTGGGAGAAAGAAGTGAAGGAAAGACCACAGACACATGAGCATTTTTCTTCCTTATTTTCTTATATCAAATGGATAGCACTGTGGTGGTTGGCTTTTCTGGGCAGACTTCAAGTTCCATTGCTTATTATGACATTTTTCTATAGGAAGATACATCCAAACTGCAAATCATACTTAGAATTAACCCATTTCTGAGCAGTCTGGAAGAATCTGTCCATCCCTCAGGCGAGGTTGGGGAGGAAAGAAAGCTTTCAAGGATATAAAAGATAGTTTATTTTTTCATTGAATTATTTTCTTCAGATTTATTCCATGAGCGCTATTTAAAGTCCTATCACGGGCTTACCATAAACACAGTAGGGCCAGTGCCTTCCAGGCCTGCTCTCAGTCAACAGTGTCTGGAGAGCTGAGTCCACCCAGGAGGTGTTTGTTTGATTATAATGTCACAAGTAACAATGAATCTCTATAGAGCTGCCCAGGAAGATTTCTGGGTACACATCAAATCCTCATTAGAGGGAGACAGGGCTGCCATTATCACATTCACTTTAGAACAATGGGAAATGAGACTCAGAAGCATGGTGACTAGACCTGGGTCTAACCTGACATCCTGACACTTTGGCTGTTTGGGTCACTCGTTTAAACCCCATTTCATCTCTGAATGCATCTGTGGGAGCACCACTTCCCATGATAGTCCACTGAGGCTCAGAGTGGAAAGGAAAAGACTGAACGAGAAGGAGATGCTACTGTCTCCTGGAGCCTAGAACTCTGACACTACTGCCACCTCCTTAGGTCACCTTGAAGTTCCTGGTGGTCTCCCGTGTTCCCTGACAGCCCCAGAGCAATGGACAGCAGGACAGGGAGGGCGGTGCACCCACTGACCTCCTGCAGGATGAACTTCTGCTCATCGGGGACAGCCTCTTTGCAGAGATGCATGACAAGGATATCTCTTCCTGGTTCCACAGCTATGCAGGCCTCCGGTTGCCGGGTGTTATAGCGTATTTCCTTTTGAGATGTGTACTCGAAAAACTAAAAACAGGATGGCCAACATGTGTCAGTTGCCCTCTGATACGGAAAGAGGAGAAGCCACTGGAAGAGATCCTTGGGTGGCAGGAGCAGGGATGAAGCCAAGCACTCTCCCGTCGCCACCACCTGTGCCTGTCCCCCAGCCCTCAGCCAAACCCCAAAGCCATGCTTGGCAAGTGTGCTGACGTGGCCTTTCTGCCTGTCTTGTTCACTAGATGGCGAGGACAAGCTGGTGGCTGTCCACCTCATGCCTGCACTCTATGGCAGGTAGGGAAGAGCGGGAAAGAAAATGGACCTGTCCCAGTGCTAGCGCTTGGGGACTGTCTGCAACCTTGGTGTCCTCTCCTTTCCCTCAAGCGCTTCCTCCCCACTGTAATATAAATGGATGGAAAAGGAGCTGGAAACTTATATCATGCTGTGCACAGCAGGCAACGTGGCTGCTAACAGGACAACTTTGCCTTCCCAGGCAACAGCTTTCCTGCTCTTGTGTGCCCAGGAACTATCTACAGCAGGGGGCGGTGAGGGGGGAGGGCTGGTTCCTGACCCAACTCCAGAGAGAGTGTGATGGCTCCTTCCTCAGATAGGAAGCTGCATTTAGACAAAACGCCTGCCTGCCCTCCCACCTCTGGCTGTTTTAAACAGAGCAGTGCTTCTCCCACCCATCTCCTGAAAGCTGGTAAAGCAGAGACTCAGTGGGAAGCGATGGGTCTAAGCTCCCAGATGAAGCTGAGGCTCTAAGGAGGGGTAAAGAGCCTGACTAATTAAGGCTGCAGGTCCAAGTTATAGCTTATTGAAGACCATAGGAGGCTACAATCAAATGGACTTGGGGTGAATCTGGACTGGATTGCTAACTGTTAGCCCTCTGTCTCCAGGTATGGCGCTCCTCTGAGCAGTAAGCTTTGGCAGTCAAGAACCAGCCTTTCTCCCATTCCCTGTTCCCTCCAAGGGTGCTGGCCTAGTAGCTCCACCTGCTTTCCTGGCACTGGGCTCCTGTTCTGGTCCTCGGACTCCCCGGGACTGAGACTGCTTGGCCCAGTCTGACATACAGCACCTCATCCAGAAGGATCCACCTGGGCTCCAACTGAGGCAATTTCTCTGAACACTGTCTCACAGTGCGGGACTACACATCAAAACCTATGATTCCATCTAAAAATTAATTCTAAGGAAACCGTCCAAAATGCTGATCTGACTTTTTTTCCTTTTCTTCTTTCTAACCAAAGATGCACACCTGACTTTTTTCTTTCCCTTCCTTCTTCCTAACCAAAGATGTTAGTGGTAGAGTTATTTTCAATCACAAAAACAGGGAGACAGACAACCTGTTAACCAAACAGTAGTATAAGCACACAATCAAATACCAACACCTTGCATATGCCCTGGCTCGATGCCCAGAACAGGAAAAAAAAAAAAAAAAAAAAGAGGCCTTCAGGAGTGATATTCTCAAAAGACATCTAATAATATAAGTATGATACAGTGTTAATGGAATATTTAAGAAAACAAATATTATGATAACAACTATCTAAAACATGTAACCTAAAGCCTGTGTGTAAACAAAGATGGGAAGAAAATATGTCTTAATTTTAATGGTGGTCGCTCTTGTTTCTTCTTTTTATGTTTCCCAAATGTATTGTAGCGAGTGTATATTACTTCTACAATGAAAAAGACCTAAATAAAAATATATTTTTGGCAGTGCTGGGAATCAAACCCAGGGTTTCCCACCTTTCAGACAAGTGCTCCACCACTGAGCTATACCCCTTCAGTCCCCAAAATCAAACATTTAATTTAAAAAAAAAAAAATCCCACAGAGCTTTGCCCTCATCTCCCTCTTTTGAGGCCCGCACCTACCTGGTTCTGGCCCATCCCATGACAGAGGTACAGAATGACCTGGTGACCCTCTACTTGGTTTTCATCAGGAGGGTTATAGTCAAAGCAGTAGTCTTTTAGTCCTTTGTTCTGGAGCTAAACAAAACACAAAGGTGGCATTTTGGTCTAGATTTCTACATTCCAACAGATTCCACACCTGGCTCAGAAGGGACAGTGTAGAGCGAGAGGAGAATGGAGCCCGTCTGCATAGTTTTCTAGTTTCTTCAGCTTTCCCATTCTGAACTATGGGAGGAATTTTTACCCCTTATAAGCTTCGAACTCATGGTCCTCTCTCCACTGCCTTCTGAGTGCTGGAATTTTAGGTGTGCACCACCATCCTGGCTAAAATGTTTTAATAAATTGATTTTTACATGGAAGTGATGACATTTAGATACACTGGCTTAAATGTTCACTGTACATGTTTCTTTATTTAACTAAAAAAGCTTTAAATGATAGGTGTGGCTTGCACTGTATTCCTGTGGGAAAGCATGGTCTAGAGGCAGTGAGACCCTGGAGCGATCAGCACCACCAGCATCCAGAGGGTGAGCTTGGAATGCTGCACCCCACAAAATGACAGAAGGTGGAAGGGAATGTTTAAGACGAGCATGGGACAACTCAGCTAAACAAGTTATGCATGCCAATGCAATGGGGTCAAAGATCAAGAAGCCAAAGTAAAAAGAGGTTGCCACTGACCTAAGATGGGACCATTTGAAAAAAATAAAATAAAACAAAACAGAGTGAATTGCTTGAAACACTCTGGCCACACACATACACACTGCCTTAGTCTGCTTTGTGCTGTTCTAACAGAATGCCACAGACTAAGCAACTTATAAAGGACAGAAATTTACTTCCTCACAATTCTGGGCCCTGGGAAATCCAAGATCAAGACACTGGAGTCTGATGTGGACTCCACATGGTGTCTTCACATGGTGGATGGCAGAAGGGTCAGAGACAGTGAGCCCAGCTCCACAAGCACTTTTCACAGCAGCATTAATCCATTCCTAAGGGTGGAAACCTGGTGACGTAAACATCTACCAAGCCCCATCTCCCAACTCTTGTTTGGGGGGTGGGGGGCTTAAGCTTCCAACACATGAGGTAGGGAAAAGCATTCAGATCATAGCAAACACCCATTAATTTACAATGTTACTGAGGAAAAGAAAATGCTACTGGGGGCACAGCTCAAAGTGCAAGGCCCTGGGTTCAATCTCTGGTACCACAAAGGGAAGGAAGAGAAGAAGGGAGGGAGAGAAGGAGTGAGGGAGGGAAGGAGGGAAGGAGGGAGGTGCAACTTCAGACAAAGAAACCGAGTAATTCTAAGAGGGAGATATTCCATAGACAACTGCACCTGCTTTCTCAATAAGTTAAAAGGAAAAAAAGGTATGTGGTGGGGAGCAGATGCCCTAGATTAAAAGAGATTCAGAAAGACGCTCCAGCCCAACAGTGTGTGCGCCTTGTTTGGGTCCCACTGGAATCAGCCAACCACTCAAGGAGAAATGTGAAAATCTGGGGGAACAGGAATCTGAACCCCAGATTTCTTGGAGCAGAACCAAGAAATCAGTGTTCATTTGATGAGGTGTGATGATGGTCTGCAGTTTTGTTAAGATAATATCCAAATTTTATGAAGATGCAGGACAAAGTGTGACTGAGTGAAATGACATGATGCCTGGGATTTGCTTAGAAAGAGGAAAACATGGAGAGTGTAACAGGGGAGAGGGAAAGCAATGGAGTCTTGGCTACTCTAGAACCACAAGGGCAGGACTCTCCATTTCTGTGTTTGGACATTTTCATAATGAGAAGAGAAGCTAACATTAATATCCTGCCTGGCATTTATCCCAGACCTCCAGAATGGAGCACCAGCATTTCTGATCACGACAGCAGCAGAGGAGCCCTCAGTGAAATGGTGTCACCGCTAGCAAAGCACAAGACACCAGACATCTTGGTGGTCTCATTCCGGTCTTTTGAAAGATTGAAAATAACTCTCCTACCCCCACTACAGGCCACTGTGGACTGCAAAGCTGGAAGGTAAAAGTCAGGCCACTGAGACTGGGAGCTATGTGATGAGGTAGCAGCAAACACCCGGATGTGGAGGCACCTAGCCAGCCTCAGTTTCCTCATCTATAAGACAGACGGCTTATACTTGCCAATTTCCAGATAGCCTTCAGATCTGGTCTGATCTTCTAGACCTGAGGCCCAAATACCCATGGGGAGTAGAAAGGACAGTAGATGAGAAGCTGGGAGGGCATGGGGTTGGAGAAAGTCCATGCATGGCCATCTTGCTCACCATCCCAAAGAAGCCAGGCCTGTCTTCAGGCACGTGCAGCTCTGGGTACACAGTATCCAGGAACCACTTGAAGTCTTTACACTGGAGCTTAGCTCGGAGTTGCCTCCTCTCTGTCACGTCCCCAAAGGGCTCCTGGGAAAACATTGGAATGGTTAGTCCCTGTGAGTCCTGAGGCTTCCTATCAAAGCCCAACTTTCTGGATTGTCACTGACTTTTACTGTGACAATCTACTGTTTGCTGGGCACTGGGCACAGAGGCCACAAACAGACTCAATGCTAGTGCCAGCAGTTAACAGGAGACACTGTTGCACAGACAACTCCATTCCGAGGTACTCTGGCCACAGGGAAGTGCAAGTAGGAGCCAACACACCTGCTGTTGGAACCCTTGGAGCAAACCCTGGGGCCACACTGGCATCCCTGGACCTCTGCATCATTATGGAACCTGTGACTACAGAGGTCATCCTCATGCTCACCCAGAGAAACGTCAGTCTCACCATGACTTACTGTCAATATCTAATTGTTCATTTTCAAATGCAGGATGTGATCACGAGTGAAACCTAGGTGCTCAATATATTCAAGTAGAAATATTTCCTAATGATGGTACAAGCAAAACACGAGTAAGGAAAGCTTGTGGAAGTTTGGTTTCATGGATAAAACCAGTAAGAATTTTTGAATAACTCGTTAAATAAAGCACTCCTTTATTTATTTATAAAGCAAATGTTCAGCCATAAGAAGAGTGCTGAGTGCTGACATATGACTATCCTTGCTCTGTCATGTTAAACTGCTAAAAACTGACAGGTGAGATCATTCACAAAACAGTTGTAAAAGTAAATGTTTGAATAAAATGTCAGATTTCTATTTCCCAATTCTTTCTTTAATGAGAGTCACTGTGCCCTGTCTTCAACTAAAACTCAGTTTAACACTCAGCCTGCAGGTGCATTTGGTGCCCCCTAGCATATTCTTGGTGAAACCTGGGGATCGGGGAACTGTGGGTTTCAGTCTGGGTGACAGTGAAGAGCAGATGTTTTACTCTACAGCATTGGGCAAGACAGGAGAAACTGAGGCAAATGATTGCGGGGACCCCTGAGGCAAAGAGTGCCAAGTGGGATGACAGGCTGAGAGTCTGAGGGCTCTGCAGAGCTGAGTGAGAGGCTCAGGTGGGCTGCAGGTGGTCCTGGTTATGCGAATGCTGGACAAATGATGCACAGCCTGTAGCATGCAAAGCTGACCAGCACAGAGGCAGTGGTTGAAACGCTTCCGAAGCCCCAAGGCCTTGTGAGAAAGAAGAGGCAGCTCCTTCACCCCTAGGTCCCTGAGGCAGGGGCAAAACAAGGCTCTGAGGCAGACAAGACCTGACATACATTGTCTGAGGAGAGACAGGCTGGTTAGGACCCAGGCTTTCACAGGGCCTCAGTATAGGGGGTATGACCTGGTCACAGCACAGCATGAGGCCTAGGCCATGGGGATCCAGGGTCTCAGCACAGACTGTGGCTGGGGTCTGTAGGGAGCAAACCAACAGAGCTGGCCTTAGTGCCCTGCAGGGACATCTCTACCATGGAGCAGACATACGGGAGATAGGCTGATACTGTCAGGCCATAGGTCCCCATCTTCGATAGCCATGACATAGGGCACAGAAAGGAGGCAGAGATGGCCCAGCCACGCTCCAGGCCTCTGTCTGCCTGAACATGGAACTGGAACTAGAAGCACAAGCCTTTGGGGTTCTTGGACAATTCAAGAGGGGTAAGAAGAGGCCTCTAGAGGGAGACGAGGTCTGCAGCAGAGAAAGTGTGTGCGCCCTGACTAATAACTGCAAGACAAAGAACTGTGCTCTAACTTACAGCCTGAGCATGTGGACTCAGTCAGACTGGCTACAAACAGAAAAGCACAGCTGCCTGACATGTGACACTACATATCCCAGGCTGGCAATATTGGCACAGTCAAGCCTCACTATCTACTGGTTCTGTTCTTACAAATTCACCCTACTCGCGAAAACTTATTTATGACCCCCAAATCAGTACCTGTGGTGTTTTCACTTTTTCACAGACATTTGTGGACAAAAACTGAAGTCACTCAATGCTCACTTTCCAGACAGGTCTCACAGATAATGCCTTGCTTTCTTGTTTCAGCTCACACTATAAACAAGGGTCTTTCTCATGGTCTGTTGGGTGTCATGTTTTTCACCTTTTTGGGCATGTGTTGGTGACTTTACCAGTCATTCTAAATCAACCCCCAATCATAATGCTGATTCCTAATGTCTAGTATTCCTAAATGCCGGAAGGGTGTAATGCATCTTACTGAGAAACCACGTGTTAGATAAGTGAGCTCAGGCTTGAGTTACAGTGCTCTTGACTAATGGTATCAGAGCAACGATGTATGTTCAATAAAGTATCTTGAAACTAAAACCACAGAAAACTGTACCGATGGGTTGACAAAGCCACTGTGGCCGAGTCTTGAAGGAGCCTAACCTGTAAGCTCCCATAGAAGCAATGGCGTGGTGCTCGCAAATTCGAGGTCTGCAGTGAATTTAAGAAGATAACGAGAATGGATTGTACATTATTAGTATAAATAGAGGAATAACATTTTCCCATACTCCCATCATGACGGTAGGCCCAGTTTGCCCCATTTCTGGAATCATATCTATAATGCTGGGAAAGCCAGAATCAGCCGCTAGATTCCCAGAAGGCCAGATGGAGTGCGGGTGGGTGGGGACTCACCAAGCGGGCGCGGGGGTTGCGATGATAGTACATCTCTTTAAACTCATCCATCCACACTTCAGCTGCACGGACACTGTTGGCCAGAGCCTTGTTGCGAGCGTAAGGAGCTTGCTTGGGGAAGACGTGGCCAACGTGGGAACAGGGGTGTGTTTCCAGAGTGCCACCGCATTGCCAGATCTGCACACAGAGCAGAGGAGAGGCTGAGCCATCATCAGGGAAGGAGATGCCAGTCCACAAAGTCTGCAGCCAGGAGGTCGCCGCACAGAAGTCATGATGGACGCTGCCCAGCATGCTCACAACACAGAAGACAGGCACAGTACAAAGAGGCAGACTCAAGTCCTCAGACCCAAGACCCCAAACTCCATGCACTGAAGCTCATGCCCCTGACTCGCAGGAGGGTCCACAGAGACCTCGCTGGCAACCCATTTACTCATCACGTCAAACGAGGCTTGGTTACCTGATCGCCTAGCCACAGAAGATAGGAAAGCAGCAAGGAAGAAGAGAGGTTTGGAAGGGACAGAGGAAGAGCTTCTAGAAGCAGGCAGAGCAGCCTGACACCTAGGGAAGAGGCAGAAAGACCATTAGAAGCACACCCAAAACTCAACAGGCTGTCGTTTAGGGCCGTGAACGGTTCATTTCCTAAGGATAGTACAAACCAGCGTAGCATCCGGGGTTTATAACTCGGGGTGTGAGTCCTTGGTGGAAGGCTGAGTTCTTTCTTAACTTTTGCCATGAGTGTAGGATAGCACATAAAAGTTATTAAAGATCTAGGTTTTGGTTCTTCAAAAAGGAAGATTCTGTTGAGAACACACTGAAATACTAAGGAGTTCTCAGAAGGTCTCACTGGGCTATGTCCCACAGCCAGTGGGGGGCTCTTTACAGAGGCAGATTCTGGCCTCACCCCAAATCTCTCAAGCCTGACTTTCTAGACCAGACCGTACCTGTGACTCTGCCTCCTTAGCATATTTCCCCAACAGTCCTCATGTGTGTCCAAGTTTAAAAGGAACTGTGTAAATAACAAGGCTACTTTCTCAGGAGTTCATCAAATAAAGACTCCAGGAGACAGCATCAGGAGGGAGGCAGGGACCTGTTAGTCCTGTCTCTGTCACCAATTCTGAGTGACCTTGACCAAGTCACATCACCTCTCCTCCATTCTTCCCTTCTGTAGAGTGAAAGACAAAAACTAGGTGACTTGAAAGCCCCTTTCTAGTCCCAAGTCTTTTAAAGTGTATTTTTTAAATAGTTGAAATAAAATAGAAAGTATGTTGACATATGTCACTATTGCCATGTAGGATCACTGCATAAACTGTCAATGTGGAGGAAAGTCTACCAAGCTCTCAGAGTAAATCCCATCATTAAGAGAGAGGGAGACAGAGAGGGAGGGAAGGAGGAGGAAGAGGAGAAGGGGAAGAGGGGAGGGAGAAGGGGGGTGAGGGGAATGGATGAGAAAGAGAGAGAAAACAAGTTAAGTTCACAGAGAAGACCAGAATACTTACCCTAAAGGAGAATTCAAGGTTTTCTCCTCCCCAGACTTCCATTCCTGTATCATAAGACCCCAGATATTCAAAATATTTCTTACTCACAGCAAACAGTCCCCCAGCCATTGTTGGGGACCTAGAAAAGAATGGAGGCCACATTTCAGGGTAAGCAGCAGGAAACCATCACAGCTGACAGAGTCATCTTCCTGCCTCAAACAGGGGTTCCCACCTCCAGCCCTGTCATTCATTTGTCCATCTTTGAGAACATTCTGCACCAAGTTGGGCCTGACCCACAGATGTACCCCAAAGTCCCTGCTATGAGGAAGCTCAAAGACACCTCAACATGCAAGTCCTCTGTGTGTAACACAGTGTCAGCTAAGGCCAGCAGGGTCCTGTTGGAACCCAGAAGAGGGCAGGGGACAGGGAAGGTAGGGGCT